GAAGCTGATTTAAATGATTAGTTACAGACAACAGTTAGTAGTTCTGCAATTTCACATCTGAGTTCCTTCAGAACTCTTGGGTGAATACCATCTGGTCCTGGTGACTTATTGCTGTTTCATTTAGCAATTTGTTCCAAAACCTCCTCTAATGATACCTCAATCTGGGACAGTTCCTCAGATCTGTCACCTAAAAAGAATGGCTCAGGTTTGGAAATCTCCCTTACATCCTCAGCCGTGAAGACGGATGCAAAGAATTCATTTAGGTTCTCCACAATGGCCTTATCATCCTTGAGTGCTCCTTTAGCACCTCAATCATCTAGTGGCCTCACTGGTTATTTAGCAGGCTTCCTGCTTCTGATATACTTAAAAAAAATGCTATTACTTTTTGAGTCTTTGGCTAACTGTTCCTCAAATTCTTTTTTGGCCTTCCTAATTGTATTTTTACACTTTATTTGCCAGTGTTTATGCTCCTTTCTATTTTCCTCACTAGGATTTAACTTCCACTTTTTTTGCCTCTCACTGCTTCTTTTACTTTGTTGTTTAGCCATGGTGGCTCTTTTTTGATTCCCTTACCATGTTTTTTAATTTGGGATATACATTTAAGTTGAACCTCTGCTATGGTGTCTTTAAAAAGTTTCCACGCAGCTTGCAGAGATTTCACTTTTGGCACTGTACCCTTTAATTTCTGTTTAACTAACCTCCTCATTTTTGTGTAGTTCCGCTTTCTGAAATTAAATGCTACAGTGTTGGGCCACTGTGGTATTTTTCCTGCCACAGGGATATTGAATTTAATTATATTATGGTCACTATTAACAAGTGGTCCAGCTATATTCACCTCTTGGACCAGATCCTGTGCTCCACATAGGACTAAATCAAGAATTGCCTCTCTTCTTGTGGGTTCCAGGACCAGCTGCTCCAAGAAGCAGTCATTTAAGGTGTCAAGAAACTTTATCTCTGTATCCCATCCTGAGGTGTACCATGTACCAGTCAATATGGGAATAATTGAAATCCGTCATTATTATTATTGAGTTTTTTATTTTAATAGCCTCTCTAATCTCCCTGAGCATTTCACAGTCACTATCACCATCCTGGTCAGGTGGTCGGTAATATATCCATACCGCTATGTTCTTATTATTAGAGCATGGAATTTCTATCCTTAGAGATTTTATGGTACAGTTTGATTTATTTATGATTTTTACTTCATTTGATTCTATGCTTTATTTCACATTAGTGCCACTCCCCCACCAGCATGACCTGTTCTGTCCTTCCAATATATTTTGTACCCTTGTATTACTGTATCCCATTGATTATCCTCATTCTACCAAGTTTTTGTGATGCCTATTATATCAATATCCTCATTTAATACAAGGCTCTCTAGTTCATCCATTTTATTATTTAGACTTCTAGCATTGGTGTAGAAGCACTTAAAAAACTTGTCTCCTTTTAGCTGTCTGCCATTACACGATGTAATTGAATGGGACTCTTTTTTATTTGACTGTTTGTGATCAGACCTTGCCTGTATTTTCCATCCTCTCGTCCTCACTAGGACATAGTGTCATTAGGCAATGTGTCCTTCTGCAGGCTGCTGTAGAGTGACCCACATCAGCTATTTCCTAGTCCTTGCTTTCCCTCCAACTGAGCCTAAAGCACATGAGTAGTTTCCAGGTATGGCTGGAAATTTCTTCTTTTGAAAGGGCGGTATTTCCAAGAGTGGTGCATGCAAAGAATTTGTGCCCTATTACAGTCCCAGAGTGCCTGTGTGGTACAATTAAATAAAGTGACTGGATTTTTAAAGAGTGATGTTTTATAACTAATAGCAGCATTGATAGTTACACATTTTGACTTCAGAATAGTCTGATTTCATAATATACGGCAAATCCTGCCCCTTTCCCCCTATGTACAAAAGGCTCTCTGACAGGAAAATGGTATGGCTGCAAAAGTGGTAATGAACGTAGGGCCAGGGACTTGCAAGAGATAACCTCACTCCACAGAGTTTTCCAACATGCAGCTATGTTACTCAGAATCCTCGCTCATATATTTGTTAGGGCTTGAACTGAACATAAGAACAGCCTTACTGGATCAGACCAATGGTCCATCTAGCCCAGTATCCTGTCTGATACTGGCCAGTGCTAGATGGTTTGGAGGGAACGAACAGAACAGGGCAATTCTGAGTGATCCATTCCCTGTCATCCAGTCCCAGCTTCTGGCAGTTGGAGGCTTAGGGACACAAGGATCATGGAGTTACATCTTGGCTAATAAACAGTGATGGACCTACCTCCCATGGGTTTATCTAGTTCTTTGTTAAACCCAGTTATACTTTTGACCTTCACAATGTCCCATCACAATGAGCTTGAAAGATTGTATCTGTGTTGTGTGAAGTACTTCCTTTTGTTTGCTTTAAACCTGCTGCCTATTCATTTCATCGGGTGATCCCTAGTTCTGGTGTTTATCCCTCGTAGGGGTAAATAACACTTCCCTATTCACTTTCTGCATATCACTCATGATTTTGCAACCGCTATCATATGCCCCTTTAGCCATCTCTTTTCTAAGCTGAACAGTTCCAGTCTTTTTAATCTCTCCACGTATGGAACCAGTTCCATACCCCGAAATATTTTTGTTGCCCTTCTCTGCACCTTTTCCAATTCTAATATATTCTTTTTTGAGATGAGGGAACCAAAACTGCACGCAGTATTCAAGGTATGGGCGCACCATGGATATATATATTCCCATTATGATATTTTCTGTTTTATTATTTATTCCTTTTCTATCCACCATAGGCATTAGGAAACAATTTTTAACAGCATATTGGATAGTGATCGAGGTGCATTTGGGGGATTTTCATTCTCCTCTAAAGCATCAAATTATTGGCCACTATCAGAGGCAAAATACTGGATTTGACAGACCATTCTTTTGATTCAATATAGGAAATCTTCTGTTCCTATAATACACATTAGCATCCAAGATAATGTCTGACTTGTTCAAATAATCGTATAGTTTCATTTCAACTGCCTTCACTTAAATGTTTCAAAGACAGAAGTGCTTCCCTTGGTCAAGAGAAGCATCCTCAAGCTAACTTGATCTTCTCTATTTCCCTCCTCAACTGACACCCTCTGTTTGCCTCCAATGTGGCATCATCTTTTTTTAAGCCTTTAGGTGCCCTTTGGGTCATGCTTTCATGCTTTCCTCCACAACCATCAGGGTTAGAAACTTACAGTGGGGATAACGAGGAGAAGAAAGGCACAGGGGGCACCACGATGGCTTAAAGCCACCCAGGACTCCCCCAGACAGGGATAATCCTCCAGCTAAATGAGCTTTAGGTATGCTTTACACCTGCAGAGCAGTACAAAATGGCCTTAATGGAGGCAAAGGTGAGGGTCATCAATTCTCCATATAAATACTGCTGATATCCCACCTTTGCCTCATAGTCACACACACACCTACTGTGTGTGCTCACACTATAGATGTACTAGCTTGCACCTCCACATGCTTCTAGGCAACCATAAAGTGCCTCATCTATATACAGTGACATACACACTGTACAAAGAAACTGAATAGTGCCTTGTTACAAGAGAAATATCATGTCATTAAAGATTGGATTGTAAATTCTAGTGCCCAAGGGCAAAGTGAAGCTTCAGCATTCAATTGTGGCTCTGAGAAATCCTGGCTTCATTGAAGTCAATGAGAATTTTGTCATGGACTTCAATGGAGCCAGGATTTTACCCTTCCTGTTTTTGTATGCTTAAATACACGACCTTCGTCTTGCATTAACACTGGGTTTAAAAAAAATGTTATCAGTTAAATATATTTCCATGAACACAGCCAACATTTACAATGCAATGTTTATCATCCGATAATGCTGAGCTGCGTGTAGTGAGTTCAGAGAATCAAGTTAATATTGTTAACATAGATGGTGCGTAAAGAATGGTGTGTCATCTTTTACACTGATAGGTTTGTCTTCTACCATTTGAATTCAGATAGTAATACCGTAACATTTCCTTGAATATGATGATCTTGTATATCAAGGACAAAGGTAACATTACAATGCCAGTTATCTTGCAAGCTGCCTCATTATCACACAGTAACCCCACTTTACTCAATGGCATTATGGTACTGGGAGAAGTGTCATGATATACCAAGATATAGTGTATTCCAGGGAAATTCATAAGATAACTCAATCATAATTTTGCTTGCTGTTCAAAAGTACAGTCTCATGAATGTTCTGTAAAGCAGAGTGATGTTTGCTTTTCTTTTGAAGCAGGAGACATTTATTTACAGTGTAAGTGAATATATAAGTTGCTCCTTCTTCCACTTACCTCTTCTATGTACAGATCCCATTCTTTACTATTATTAATTTTTAAACAAACCTACTACATTTAACAGTGTTTCTAGCTGAGGGAGCTTTCTACAAGTATTTCCTTATAGTTAACATGAAAATGCTTCCTTCTCTCATGACAATGACACAAGGTCTACTCTATTCTGTCTAAAACATCATACTAGCAAGGGTTTCTTAAATGTAAATCTTTCTCCTGACTTCCTCTCAGGAGCCTGAAATCCTTGGGGCTTTCAAGCAACTTGTGTTTCTCCAGATACACTTCCTCTCCTCTGCTCTTCCTGCTGATAAATTTACCTTTCTTTGTTAGAACGGCTTTGCTAAATCTCTAAATGCATTCAGCTGTAGGACATTTATTATTATCTAAACTTGATAATGCATGGACAGTTCACTATTGCTAGCGATTTTATTTCCATATACAAAAGTGTAATGAACTAATATTTGGACCAATGGGATGAACCCCTATTTGCATTGGTATTCTTCAGTTCTGCAAAAAGTACAGACACTCAATCTGATCAAGATGCTGTTTCCTGACTGTTCTGCATATTCCATAGCTATGAGGCTTCAGAGCTACTGAGGAAACAGCATTTGCAAAAAGCCAAAGCCAAAAAAAAACAAAAACCCCAACCCCCCTCCCACCAGAATAAATCAAATAGACCAAGGGTTTCACCTGGCAAAGCCGACTCCTCTGCTGACTCCATTAGCATCTCTTAATATTCTGGTGGAAATGACATGTCCGAAGGGTTTCAGCATATTCTCCAGTTCCTGCTCATCCATGGAAATGGGTAAATTTGAGATGTATAAATTAGTTGGGTCTTGCTCTTGTTGCTAAGATAAAAGAAAAGAAACAGCCTCAATTAAACTCAGTACTTTAACAGAACAGCTTGTGGCTCCCGATATCCAAAAATGGTGGGTGCGCCAAATAATACAGAGCCAAGAAATTATAACAGGGTTAGAAGCATAGCTCTGCAAGGTATTCAGAGCTGACAATATATTTGTCAAATATAGCCCATTAAGACCTCAACCCTGCAAATTTTCATGCATGTGCTTCTCTCTCCATCCATGAGTAGTCCCATTTAACTCAATGGGACAGCTCACGTGCAGGATGTTACTCTCATGCATGTGTTTTTAGGACTGTGCCCTAATTTAGGAAGTTGACTGAACAGAACATGATTTCCACATACGTGTTCACTGCTCAAAAATATTCAGCAAATGTTGTATGCAGAGACATATATTCCAGCCTGAAGACTGTTTACAACTTGGTCACCATGAGTGAGCTTGGTTGAAAATGGAGAATGTTTTTCTGGAAATTTTCCAACAAGCTCTAACAAGGATTTTTGCTTTGAACGTTTGATATTTCCAATTCAAACTTCAAGCTTTTTTGACTAATAGGTCACATGGTGTATGTTTTATTCCTTGATTGGATGAGCATAATTCTTAGAATGGTTTAGAATGTGAATACTCAAGAATTCAAATTTGAAAATCACTTTCTAGTAATACTCCAGAGTATTAGTTTAAAATGGCAGTTTTGGCAAACATTCCTGCTGGTACCTTGTTTGCTAGAATACTCTCAGGAAGGGGATACAAAACACAGGTGCAGCAAAAGCATTAAAAACTTTGAACAAAAGCCCTGTCTACACACAAACTTGCACCTGTTTAATTAAACAAGTTTAGTTAAACCCTTGCAAACACCTGTATGGACACACTTATTTTGGTTTACAAGCAGCTTATTTTGGTTTAGCTTAAACCTGTTTCCAATTGACTTAGGGCTTGTCTACACCTAAAACACTACAGTGGCACAGCTGCACCACTGTAGCGCTTCAGTGTAGACACTACCTACGCTGATGGGAGGGATTCTCCTGTTGGTGTAGATAATCCAGCTCTCTGAGTGGAAGGTTGATGAAAGAATTCTTCTGACAACCCAGTGCTGGGGGGTAATTCAATATAGTTACTCCTCTCGGGATGTAGATTTTTCTGATGTAAATTCCCAGTGTAGGTCAGACCTTAGGATAACTCAAAATAAGCCTGGTTTAAACCAAAGTCAGAATATCCATACAGCCTTGTGCATAAGTTTAGCTAAATTGGCTTTAAAAAAATCACACCTTCAGTTAACCCAGTGCAACTCGGTTCGTGGACAAGCACAAACAATCCCATGCATTTGCCCAACTCCAGGAAGATATGTGAATAGAGTGCAAACTCAAGGAGCCTGTTTCTCCACTTCCTTGCACCTCATTCACCCCTCTGTAAAGTGGGCACCATCACTGTGAGGGAGTAGAGAATTCTGATTTTGCAGCAGTTTACACCACTGTACAAAGGTATAAATGACTACAAAAGGTGCAACCCTGTAGAGAATCAGGGCCAAAGACTTATCAAAGTTCAAAGGCAAGAGAAACCTCCCACTATAGCAGTTCAAGAGGGCATATCTCTGCCATACACATGCAGCTGATTTTTGCCTTTAATGTATGGAAGATGAACATCAAGTTATAAATTCAGACATACCCGGTTCCATTTCACTATAAATAGCTCATAATAAACCTGGCATAAAATAAATATGTGGAACCAGAAATACAATAAGGAAACAATTATACTATGCCTAATAATAATACCAAATAAGCAACCAAGTTATCTTTTACTAGCAGGGCCGGCTCTGGCTTTTTTGCCGCCCCAGGCAAAAAAGCCTCCG